GGGGGGGCCCCCCCCCCTCTTGGGTGCCTCCGGAGGGGCGGCGGCGCCCCCTGGCGGCGGTGCGCGGGAGCTGCCGTCGGGGAAAAGCCCGCCAAAAGCGCCCGGCCGTCCCTCGGCGCGGAGAGCGTCCGCCGCCGCCGTGTGAGGGAGCCATCGGTGCGGGGGGTAAGGCAGAGCGCTCCCGAGCCTCTCCTCTCGAAACAGTCAGGTGCAGCGACGCTGTGTTTGCTTTGTGATTCCCGTACCGGCACCCCACCTTAGGAAACGAGAAAAGCAAACGTTAACAGCAGCACAGGGGTCATTTAAGCCCCGAGAGGGATTGCTGTGTGGCAAAGGTGATGGGATGGCCTGAGTTTCACCCAAATGGATACCTATGGTGGCAGGCTTAAAATCGTGAGGTAAAATTGCATCTATCTTCAAGAAAGAAAGCAATTTCCAAGCCCTGCAGTGGTAGCTGCAGTTCCACACCGAATGTGAGCTGGGTCAACCATGGCTGCAGAGCTGCTTTCTCAGGAACAAGCTCCCTAAGCCGCCCAAGGCACTGAGACGGGGCGAGCTGCTCCACCCTAGTAACAGGCAGCCATACGCTACTGCCTGTAACCCCCTTTGCCCCGTGCACCAGTGCTGTGCAAAAAGCCATGCCTCAGCAGTAGGGGCATAAGAAGGTGGAAAGGAGAGCTGGAGACTCATCCCGAAATACTTCTGCTTCTCTCCTGCTGGCCAGCGGGCATCCATTAGTTTTGGATGGGCTCTGTATGTCGTCCTCCTTCACAGGACATCAGTGCCTGAGCCACGTAACCCTGGGAGCCATAGTCTACCACAGAAATAAATGGTGGATCACTCTAATAAATGCCTTTGTCCTCATTCTTGGGCAAAATTCACATTTACCTGCTTTCTTCAGAGTTTTTGGCCAGTCCTGTGGGAGCTTATGTCATCCTATGACGAATCCTGTTTCACATAGTACAGCAGTCTCTGTAATTAAGGCACATTCATTAAAGCAAGGACAAAACACTTTCAGGCCTATAGGCAGAGATCATAATTTGCAATGCATCTATACTGAAGACAGTAGGAAGATGCTGTTTATGTTCAGTGGCCCCACATAACCGTTCAGATGAGAAAGCAAAAAAAGAAACAAACAAAAAAACTCCAAGTGATAAAAAACTGGTGACTTTTAATTTCCTTCTCCTGTATTATGGATTGAATGGTGCTATTAGGATACAGTAGCCAGCTGACACATAAGCCAGGCACAGAACAGAAGGCAGGGAAGAAGACAGAACAGCGACTCAAGTCAGCTGGCAAATATAAACACAGCCTTGACCTTGTACTTTGTAGCACAAGATCTTTAACTTGGACATATTTCAATCCCACTATGCCAAAAAGTAACAGTGCTGAAACTGGACTGTGGGCAGCCTTTGCCTTTTCCTGTTTGCATGGGCAGACAATACTTACATCTTTGAGAAAGTCTTGTCTTACATCCAGAAAGAGAAAATATTATGATAAGTTTGAGTCCCTATTTTGCAGGTTAACAGCGTTGCCAGGATCAGGCAGTGCTTTCAGCTCTTCTTTCACCCTCTGTTAATAAGTTTGAACACCGATGCCAGGAAGATCTGCTCCATAATCTCCCTGGAGCCTG